TGATAAGATAAGATAAGATAAGACTCCCTTAATCTATCCTACTGAATTGATAAGATAAGATAAGACTCCCTACTAATCCATACTACTGAACTGATAAGATAAGAACACTGAATAGATAAGACTCCTACTAGTCTCTGCTACCGAAAGTAGATAAGGTAAGAATACTGAATGGATAAGATAGGCTGAGAACACTAAATTGCTGCTGCTGAGAACACTAAATTACTGCTGCTGCTGCTGGCGCCCACATCAGTGCCACCACCACCTATATGAACTGCTGACATCATCCAATGGCGGTTTGGTGTCAGCAGTTTTCCCCTGGAATGAAGGTCAGCAGTAGAAACTCCCTCAAGTCTCAATGAGCTCTAATACCAAGTTACACGTGTGGAAGGTAAAAGGAAGAAGAAGAAGAAGAAGCAAAAGAGAAAGAGAGGGATGTGTCCAAGAGAAGGTGTGAGTTACTGTTCACACCCTCAAACCAGCAATCTATGTTTACTATTAAGCATGAGATATTACAACTATGCCCTTGGGTGCCCAAATACAAAAGAACATAAAAGATAATATTGCCCTTACATACCAAGTATTCTCAACAATGATGATGATGATGGAAAAAATGGAGGTGACAGTGGTGATGGGGGTAAATATCCAAGAACATAGAGGGAGTGAAAATCAGAGACCTTTGAACCTAACAATTGGAGAGTCAAGGTTCGATCATGCTACTCAAGATTATAGCCAAGCTTCTTGTGTTTCTAGAAGTCAATATTATCGAAAAAACAAGACAATGGAAGCCAATTATGAAAAGACCATGTCAGAAAACTAGCTTAGCAGGGATGAACAACTCTTCTAGTCCTATTGAGTGGGGCACTTCCAGTTCTACATCATCACATGCCTATGGGCATCTTAATCCTAACCATATACTTGTAGGCTCTATGGACAAGCTTCTGATAGGGCGTCTTCTTATGGATAAGTATATGGATATGGAATTATGGAGAATACCCTCAAATAGGAGTTTTTCTTAGAGAATTGACCAAGAAAGCTACTGACACTATGTAGAGTATAAGAGAGGGTATTTTAATGTGAAGAATTGACAACAATATTGTAGATATGTGGAGTAGCAACATTACTGCACACCTAATGGAGTTGATGACCAATTTGAGTCAACTTGAAGTTTTTTTCGGATGTGATGTTAAATCTTAGTTTTTGTTTATATAATAAATTATTTTGTAGTTCAAAACTTAGAAGGCAAACAAGGTGACTCCAAAATATAAAGACAAAGTAACCCCAGATATCACAATGCATTACAACACAAAACTTTTCCATCACCTTAATTGTACTCCCCTGAAATCCTCTTGTTACCCTTCCTGGTTTTCTTCACCTTCTTATTTGGTCCAACCCCAAAAAAGCCCCTCCTCGATCTGTCAAACACATTCAAAACTTTGAACAACTCTTTGACTTTTCCTCTTAAAGCATCCAGCTGCATTAGGATTCTTTTCTAATTCCTTTCTACATTAGAAGGCAACCAAGTGTTGTTGATACTAATGGGAGGATGCAGAAGGAAAATGTAGGGTGTTTGGTACATCTTTTGCACCCGGTCAATAAAGGACAAACAGAAATATGCAAACCTCTTACCAATAGATGGCAGAAATTGGTGTATTTTGAATTATAACTATCATCATGCATGCCTTATCCCAACTATATAGGGTTGGCTACATGGATCCTATTTTTGCCAATCTGTTTTATTTAATGCCTTATCCGATTGTTCAATTATTAGCACATAAATAATTTCTTGCATGATTATGACCTTATTCCAATTTGGATCATTTGTCATTTCCTCTGTGAGTTTTGCACAATCCTTCCACTTAGTATCTATGTTACCTGGATATGGCAAAAGGATGACTGGACAAGGTATCAGATAAGAAATCTACACCAAAAATTTAAGCATCTGATATGATACAGCACTCTTATAGAGGAGAGGTGTCCAGTATCATAGGTTAATATATACTCTACTTGCTAGCTTCAGAATGCTAGTTAACTAATTTTCCACTTGTTGCTTCTACTTCTTTACCTTTTAGGGAACCATTTAACTAAATCATTCTCTTCTTTGTTTCTTTCCTTGAACTTCTAATATTTGAGCTACGTTTTGTTCATTGATGTCAACAGATTTTCATTGGGAAAGTGGGGCTATCACTCAAAATCTTGCTAGAAAATGTGAGATGCTCGCTGTATCTGGTCTAGTGGAATATGGCGATGAGATAGATGTCATTGCTCCAGCTGATATTCTGAAGCAGATCTTTAAGATGCCCTACTCCAAGGCTCGTTTATCTATTGCAGTTCATCGTATTGGTCAGACTCTTGTTCTTAATACAGGGTATGCCTTTTAAACAGAAGCTGCTTTTTTGCATGTTCAGCTTGTAATTGCAAACACACATCCTTCAATTTTCCTGAACATTTGCAGGCCTGATGTTGAGGAGGGAGAAAAATTGGTTAGAAGACATAGCAATCAATCTAAATGTGTTGATCAGTCTCTCTTTCTGAATTTTGCCATGCATTCAGTCAGAATGGAGGCTTGTGATTGCCCACCAGGTAAATATGTCCCACACGAAGAGGAGTCAAACCCAACCATTTTTCCAGGACAATTTGACTCTACGAAGGGATCTTTTGTCTCTCCTGATCTTCCAAATCAAGGCGATACATCACAGATTCTTGGTCAGAGTGGTGGTGGCAGCCAGAGAGAAGGATTAAATGGCCATGCACAGTATCCACAAGGGAATCAGGGTGATTTTTTTTTGGGTGGTAAGAAAAGTAAGAGAAATAGCAGGTGTGATGCTGTCAAGAAAGCTTCACAAGTTGGTGAAAAGCCCAGATGCACAGTGCAGGAATCTGAAAAGTACAGGAGGGTTGGTGGTGATGATTTTCTAAGAGTTTTGTTTTGGAAATTTCACAACTTTCGCATGCTTTTGGGAAGTGACTTGCTTTTATTTAGTAATGAGAAATATGCTGCTGTGAGCTTGCATCTGTGGGACGTTGCGCGACAGGTAACCAGCATCTTGCTGTATACAATGATATTATGTCTCTTTTCTTTCTCATTGTATTTCTCATCTACAGGTCACACCATTGACTTGGCTGGAAGCCTGGCTTGACAATGTCATGGCAAGTGTTCCTGAATTGGCCATCTGTTATCATCAAAATGGTGTTGTCCAAGGCTATGAGCTTCTTAAAACAGATGATATTTTTTTACTTAAGGGCATCTCTGAAGATGGCACACCTGCATTCCATCCTCATGTTGTCCAACAAAATGGCCTTTCAGTTTTGAGGTTCCTTCAGGAAAACTGCAAGCAAGATCCTGGTGCATATTGGGTACTGTTTCCTGGTTTTTATCTGGATATGGAAATGGATGTATTTTAAATTGCTTATTACAATTTGTAACTTTCATGATTCTTATGTTGACTAAATATTTTCAGTTGTATAAAAGTGCTGGAGAGGATGTTATCCAACTCTTTGATCTTTCTGTTCTCCCTAAGAACCATTCACCCAGTAACCATGATAAAAGCTCTAGCTCCCTGTCATCTATAATGCATAGAGGGAGAAGGGACTCCTTGTTTTCATTGGGGACTCTTCTGTACCGAGTTGCTCATAGACTATCATTTTCAGGGGTATGGAATCAGAGATGTCTGTCATTTTAGATTCTTTGCCCTATAGGATATGGTTAACTCTAGTTGATGATCGACTATTTTTACTGCAGGGTGCCAATGGTAGGGCGAGGTGTGCAAGGTTTTTCAAAAAATGTCTGGATTTTTTGGATGAGCAGGATCATCTGGTATTACTGCTTTCCAGGATATGTTTGATATTGGTCATGCTGTTTTCTTTTTGGTTGATTTTTATCCAAAATTATTGGATTGAAAGATGATTTTTATACTTACAATTAATTTGGTGGTGAAATAGGTTGTTCGTGCATTTGCTCATGAACAATTTGCAAGGTTTATTTTGAAATACCATGAGGAGCTTGATTTAACATCTGAATCTGTTCCTATTGAATCTGAAGTTACAGTTACTGATGCAGAAGATGAACCCTCTGACTTATCTCTAGGCATGACTAGATCATTAATCCATGATGAATCATGTTCTCAAATTGCAGAAGATGCACAGACTCCTTCATCTAAAGATGGAAATAATCTTCAAGATTCACTGTCAGGGGAGCCCTCTCTGAAGATGACTTTAGAAGCAAATCTGTTTAGCCCAAAAAAATTTGTTGCACCACAAAGAATGGATGGGAGAGGTTCAAAAGGAACTGTGCCAAGTTCTTGCAGTGAAGATAGCCTTGCAGTATGTGAGATGGCTTCAGCTTCTGCACATATGGTTCAAACTGTTGCTGATCCAATCTCCTCGAGGTTAGCTGCAATACATCATGTATCTCAAGCTATCAAGTCTCTCAGGTGGAAGCGTCAATTACAGGACACTGAATTAAAGCTGATTGATCATGGTAGCAGCATCCAGGAAAGATCATCTACCCCCTTTACTGTATGTGCTTGTGGTGATACTGATTGTATTGAAGTTTGTGATATTCGGGAGTGGCTTCCAAGATTGAAAATGGACCACAAGTTGTGGAAACTTGTTCTTTTACTTGGAGAGTCTTATTTGCTTCTTGGGCAAGCTTATAAAGAAGATGGGCAATTGCGTCAAACTCTAAAGGTTGTAGACTTGGCATGTTCTATTTATGGATCAATGCCCCAACATATTGAAGAAGAACAGTTTACCTCATCCATGGTAATTAGCACATCCCAATCAAATTTTGGTAGTTTGAGTGGAAAGACAAGACCATTCCTTGACAAACAATTGCATTCTGATTTCACCGGAGATTGCCTTCCTATTGAATGTTGCTCTTCCCCTTACCTTTTCTGGGCCAAGGCGTGGACACTTGTTGGGGATGTGTATGTTGAGCACCACATGGTAAGAGGTAAAGAAATACCAATACACCCAGAAAGCAAACCTTGTAGTCGCAAATTGAGAATGCCATCTGAAGTTATGAAGGAGGTAAAAAGGCTCAAAAAGAAGTTGGGACAATATAAGCAGAACTGCAGTACTTGTTCCTTGATAAACTGCAGTTGCCAGAGTGACAGGGCAAGCAGTGGTAACAGTGCAAGCAGTAGCACTGGAGATGTCCAACCATTAACTCATGGTAGAAAACAGAGTAAAAGACTTAATGCAAAGAAATCTAAAGATGCTCTTGTTGGAACTCTGGATGATAGCCATGTTCAGAGCAAGGAAGAACCTGTGAATGCTTTCGAAGGTGGATGTTTACCTAACAATAAAGGTGGTAACAAATCTGTTGAAAATTCTAAAACAATAACAAATAATTTAGGTGAAGCATCTTGGACCACTAATTCTATAGTTGAGGGTCCCTTGGAAGTGCAGGATAGTGGGTCTTTAGCAGCTACTGATGTTGAAACTAATACTCAAGAAGCATCCAAAGAGAAAACTGGTGGAATTTTCAAATTTCTTCAAGGGCCTGTATTTGCAGATGAAGATTCCAATCTTTCATCTGCCATAAGCTGTTATGATGCGGCTAGACAAGCAATGGATGGCCTGCCCACTGGTTTAGCAGAATTACAATCTGTACTTAAAAAGAAAGGATGGGTGTGTAATGAACTAGGTCGACAGAGGCTTGAAAGAAAAGATTTGGACAAAGCTGAACTAGCATTTGCAGAAGCTATAAAAGCCTTCAGAGAAGTTTCTGACCATACTAATATTATATTAATTGAATGCAACTTGGGTCATGGCAGAAGAGCATTGGCAGAAGAAATGGTATTGAAGATAGAAAATCTCAAGGCACATGTGATCTTCCAAAATGCATATAACAAAGCTCTTAATACTGCAAAGCTTGAATACTGTGAATCACTACGATATTATGGTGCAGCCAGGTCAGAGTTGAATGCTCTAGGGGAGGGCACAGGATCAGTGTCAAGCACCTTGAGGAATGAGGTATATACACAATTTGCTAATACATATTTGAGGCTCGGTATGCTTTTGGCCAGAGAGGATATTACTGCAGAGGTTTATGAAAACAGAACTCTTGAACATCTGTCTTTAAGCCATCTAAATCCTCTTGATAGGAGAGCTAGGAAAGAACTGAGGAAACATGAGATTTCAGCCAATGATGCTATTAGGGAGGCTGTATATATGTATGAATCACTGGGTGAACTGCGCAAACAGGAGGCTGCATATGCTTATTTTCAACTTGCTTGCTACCACAGGGATTGTTGTTTGAGGTTTTCAAATGCAGATCATAAGCACATTAATCCATCTAGAGGTGAGAGCAACAGTCTTCAGAAGGTTAAGCAGTATGCATCTTTGGCTGAAAGGAACTGGCAGAAATCGATAGATTTTTATGGAGCAAAGACACATCCCATCATGTACCTGACTATTCTTATGGAAAGATCAGCTCTTTCATTGAATCTCTCAGACATTTTTCACTCAAACACAGTATGTTCCATTAACTTGTTGGTTCTCTGTCAGTTTTCTAATACAATAATGGTTTAGCAATTATATATTGGTCTTTATTTAATGCATGTCAATTTTTTTTGATCAATAACTTAACATTTTATTAATTAAGAAGAAGGATGGTAAAATACATTAAATACAGTCGCTGTGAGAGATAAAACCTCTTATTTCTCTCCCATACAATCTGATCCCTTACAGTTGTGCCCATAATGAATCTCTCTCCACCCATTGTTTAGCTAAGGCATCTGCTACATAGCAAATCTCTTAACACACCCAACAACTATTTCCAAATCTCTCATTGTTGAAAAGCCACAGATTTGACCCCCCATCTTGTAACCAGATAATCACCTGTTTGGACTCTCCTTCCACAAATAGCTTTTGAATGTTCATTTGCTTTGCCTTTTGGATGCCTTCCACTACTGCTAACACTTCTGCTCTCAGGGAGTCTCCTCCAACTGGCCCTGAGAACATGGCTATTGGAACTCCTAGTTTCATGATTGGTACCTTTGTTTCTAGGAAATGTCAATATTATTAGAGGTATAAAACTTGAGGCATGCCTTGGTGTGTGGCATTGTAAAACATACTTTTCAAGGCGCCTAGTCTCCTAGGCAGACACTTAGGCATCGCCTAGGCAATGAGTTCTTATTTTTAATAAAAAAATATAAATCCTAGGGTAGTTCCCTAGGTTTCATAGTAATAAGCAGTATCGTTAACTAATCATTACCATAATCCTCAAGAAATAAGTATAAACTCCATATCAAAAGATAGAGAATCAACATATTTATGAGAAGAAAAATATGAAAGAAAACATACAAAACATAAGGGATGAGCCTTTATTGTTCTTGTGTTTCAATTGGATAAAATCTTCAAGTATTTCTTCCTTATCAATTCAGGTTTTAAAGTCCTAAAGTGTTCAAGGCTATGCCATGAATTGTCTGCCGATTGAATCCAAGCAAGTAAGAAAATAATAAAAAGAAACTGGTATAAGAACAATAATATTAACACTATAAACCCACAATATGAATAATTTAGTCTAATAATATCTATTATACTACTAATAACAAAATATAAAAATATTATGTGGTGTCTTACATATAAATTTGTAGGCATTTGGGCAAGGCAACCCTCCAAGAATGCCTTATTGCCTTAGGTGTTGCCTAGGCATCACCTTGACAACTATGTTGCCAAATGCCTGCTGTGGGATTAGTGATGTACCCATGTCATGTGAAGTGTGAGTAATGCATGAGAAAAGAAACCAGATTTGGAAATTTCTGGATTTTCAAGTATTTTTTATTTTTTATAGTAATGATATTTTGGTTATTCTATATATTGCTTTTAGAGTTATTTTCTTTATGTTTGTTAGTGTGGTAGAATCATAATTTTGAACTTCATGGTTCAAGGAGTTTAGTTGACTCTAGACAGTACATTTATGTATATTGTTGCAAAAACATGATAAATTGTAATGAAATGATATTTGAGTGATTTTTCTGCATGTTATGCTTATGGTGAATGAGACTGAACCCATAAACCTAGAGAGATTCTAGGTGTCCATTGAATGATTCTAGTCTTCTAGGTTCTCTCTTCTCTCTCTCTCTCTCTCTCTTGCTTTCTAATTCTTCAAATGTTCATTATAGTCATCAATAATCCATAAATTATTCATTAAAAGAGTTTATTATCTTTAAAGGACTAAAAATTGATCTAGGTACATTTTCTTTAGTTAAACATAAAATTCGCTTGACTTTTGCATTTCAGTTATTTTCATCCTTGTCAAACCATATTGGAATTCTCCCATATTTGGATATCTTATAGATTTCTATCACTTTTCATCCTACCAAATTTTATGCCAAATTTTATTTAAATCTTAATTCATTGGATTTTGGTGGTTATTCTCAAGGAGTTTTTTTGTCCTTTGTGGAAAACTTACTCAAAATGCTTTCAAACTAAATCATGCATACAATCCATCATTCTAAAATGTTTACAAAATTTCTTTAGAAAATTCCACTTATACATATTTATTTAAAATTTCTATTTTCTCAAGGTCCTAAAACCTTTCCAACCTCTGTTTACTCTTTTATTTAGTCCTAAAATTATCCCTAAATGCTTACTAGTCCATTTGCTGCATTACAAGGAACTCAGATTGCTCACCAGCGTAGCCTAGTAAATTTGATAATAGGAGATTCCAAGTTGGTGGTGGGTTGGCTACAAAACCCGGATTTTGTTCCTTGGTACTATAGAGATGAAATCAAGAAATTCAAATGGTATACAAGGGACATGAATGTAAGAGTACACTGGGCCAGAAATCTGCAAATTCTTTGGTTGATTGTCTTGCTAAACAAGGGACAAACAAGGATACTTTATGTAGAGAACATTGATGTGGGCCCCACAGCTGTGGTCCCACTCTGTCCGTAGGGTAGAATGTATCTAGTCACAGCTGTGGTTATTTTGCTATTCTGTTATTTCTAGTTTCAGTTTTACATTGTTTGTTATTTGTTAGCAGTTATGATGTAAACACCAAGGGCAGATATGTCCTTTCATGTAACTAGCATAACCTATATATATTAACTTAAAGTGGCAGCGGCAGAATATTGACATTCTGTTCTTCTCCTCAAAATCTGTGTTCTACTGCTCTTTCACCACTCTTTCTTCTACTTCTTCACTTTTCTTCTCATCGAACCTGAAATCTCTTAGTGGTCGAGACTGACTAGCAGTCTTGAAAACCTACACTTTATATTGGGTTCAGCTGTAATTTTCTTTTAACTTGTTTATTTTGTTCTAAAATTGGGGGAGGTCGCAACTCGTGCCTCTCAAAGGGATGCTTGTACTGATTTAAGCCATTGATATCAATAAAGTATTAATCATTTATCAAAAAAAAAAAAAATCCTTCCTAGCCCATTGTTTTGTTTTCAAGAAAAGGTAATGTATACATTAAAGATGAACTAGAAAGACCATACAATAGAATTAATTGAATCCCTAAATCCTTTCTAGCCCCTTGCTATATAGATAGACAGAGAGAGCGAGTATAGACAAAACAAAAAGAAAGAAACAAAAAAATAGCAAAAAGACTGTACATACCTTCTTTGTCATCATTCTTCTTTTCTCTTTCTTTGGTCTTCATCAAGTTTCTCCTTTTTGCAAGAAGTAGAACCCTAACATGTTGGATCCAAATCTAATATATATGCCATCCATTGCTCATTTTTATTTGAGACATACTTATTTGGTCCCTATTATATACAAGGAAAATGGTACCTTGGAAAGCTATAAAGCTAGATTGGCGGCCAAGGGATACACTTTAGCATGTGATATAGACTGCATGGGAACTTTTGCCCTTGTGGAAAAGATGAATTTAGTTTGAGTTTTATTATGTCATGCGGCATCTTATTCTTGGCCACTGATCTAATTCAATGTGAAGAATGCTTTTTTTTGAAAATAAATAAAAAAGAGAATATATTACGAAAGAAAGAAGAGAGTTACAAAAAATGTGATAAGGCATCACCCCAAGGAAGAAAACCCAACCACCTATCTCACTTCCAGACACCTCACTGAATAACACCAAAAAAATACACTTCTACAACTTCAGCTGAAACAGAAAAAGAAAAGGAAGTGAACCCAACCAACCACTTCCACTGAGCACCTCAGACTATGTTTAGCAAATAAGTGGTTTGTTAATTAAGTACTTATCATAAGCACTTCTTTTTAAGTACTTCTTCAATTAAGTACTAATTAGTGTTTGGGGAGGTCTTTCTCAAACAACTTACAATTATTTTAAGTACTTATTTGTGTTGCAGTGTTTGGTGAGCTACTTATGCTATAAGTACTTAACATAGTGATTTGTTGGATAAACACAAAGACGCATAAAAAAAATAAATAGATACTATAACTGAACCTGTTTCCACGTTCACTGCAGCAACGGGGTGTGTGTGAGGTGCCAACCAGCTGGTTGGTAAGGTCTCCTGCTAACAGGGGCTCAAAATGCTAATTGCAACACCACAAGAACCACTCAAAACTAAAACTCCAAGTGAAATCTTCTCAGGCTTTGCTTGAAACCTCATCTCCTTCAGGTTCTAAATTGGAGAAAGCTTTACTCTTCATATTCCCTTCATTGAACTTGTATCACTTGAACCCTGACAGTGATCCACATTTCTTTAGTCTTCGAATAGGTGTCAAAACTCTAACCACATAAGGAACTAATAAAAAATATATAATTTTTTGAAAGAAATAAAAGGAATGATATAGTTTATCATGTTTTTCTTACTATTATACAGTCAAAATATAATAAACATTATAACAACTAAAGAGCTTATATATAATCTCATGGTGTTTGGGCGAGGTGAGCCCCAAAAAGCACTTAGATGCCTAGGCGCCGCCTTGACAACTGTGCTGAACAGTGTGAACATTCTTCTTATTTCTGAGTCACCTCACTGCATTAGGCTTTTTCTCCAGCCTCTGCTCCTCCAATGATTTGGGATTGATTCTTTCTAACTCTAAAACTGCATTCTTCTAAAAAGTCTGGATGGAATTCTGCTCTATATCCCTTTTAACATCAACCCCACACTCCAACTAAACTGAAAAAACCTTGATCCTCATCCTTTTTACTTTTTAATTTAACAACAGCTTCACCAATCTCAGTCACTGCTGTCTTGTAAATTTTCCTTGCAAATTCTTCTTGTCCTAAGAAACGCAAGCCCAGGATTTTATTTAGTAGAAAACTACCGAATCAAAGAATCTGTAAAGAAAAGAGATGTTTCTAGAGGAAGAAGAGAAAGAGAAGAGATTGAGAAAGAAAGAGAGAGCAAATCAGTTCTGGGCGCCCTCTTCACTAGTATTTATACTTTTAATTAAAAAAGGGTACAATGACTAATATGCCCTTATAGGGCGGCTAACACATAAAGCTGCATAAATAACTTAAAAGAACCACTCAAAAGGGACCCAAAGTGTGTTGTGGTCCTCACTTCCTTTCTAAACAAATAATAAACAAAACAGCT